CGACGTCACATGGGACAGATCACCGTCCGCTGAAAGCAAATACAATCAAGAAACTTTAGCTGACAAAGATTTCTATTAAGTTTTGTTGCTGATTTTATTTGTTAGTTATAGATTCCCAAATATTGAGTGAATTAAATTGTCGTAATATTTAACAGCCTGGTTTCCTATTATAGACCGTTATAATGTAACACGATCTTTAATTAAACGATGCTGGCTACAACAATTGCTCTTATTTTTGTTTTTGTTTTTGTTAACTCAGACTGTAAATTTTCGTCTACAATTTGTGATGTTATTCTACTGCCAATTGTTTTATGTGAGCTTTCAAATATTTGTGCTTAAATACCTAGCAAGCTACACTGCTTCATAAGAAATCTTTGTAGCCTGAGTTTCCGCCTACGTTAGCCTAATAAGTATTGACGAACCTAGGGCAAGACGGAGTTAACTGAATTAGTAAAAATAGATAAATTGTGGAAGTGCTGTTTCTTATTCATGAAACGTAGATATTGAAAATAAAATGTTTGTTAAGTGAAAAGGTCTCCGTGTGTAGAGCGTAGGGTGAAGTCACAACCAGCACTGAAATCCCTGGCGGGAAGCATTTTTCTGAGAGAAGACTGGGGTGGAGAAGTCGGCATAGTCAGTACGGGTCACCGTATCCGGGCTCCGCTGAGAAAGGATAGAATCCTTTCCGACCTTCCTACGGTTAATACTGATCGACTTACCACCACCCACCTCTTCTCCTTCTGCAAAAAGTATCAAATAAGCGTCCCATTTCTAATAATTCATTCCCCTATGTATTTTGTTTTCGTTAATTTTATTTTACTTTTCATTTTTTTGTTATTTCTTTATTGTTTTGAAAGGGGTTGACCTCTGGGGGAGGGGAGCCTCCCCTTATAAAACTTCGTTGAGTACACCTCCGGATTTCTCCCTGACTTCCCTTTCTGTCTGTTTATTAATTTATATTCTCGTGAATTATCAGTCGTAACAATGTTATGACGTAAGTCGCCTTCAATGACCTTCCTCTAGGCTTTGATAGTGGCGTAATATGCTACTGACAGTGCTCGTATATTTCTAAAATTATGCCAATTATACTACTACATGAGAAATTTTTGCAATTTAATTGGCTTAGAGCAGTGGTATTTCAGCTTAATTTGAAATACCTACCTGTGAAAATTACAAACCCTTTGGGGTAGTAGTGTAAACAAATAATAGCATTATTTGCTCGTTACATTTGGCGTAAATATCACTCATGATATTTCACAATTGTCTCCAATTTCACTCGCCCAACAGGTCGTGAAATTACGTACAACAATTTCGAAATATCACTCGTGGTATTTATGCCAAATATCACTACAAATCATGCTATTACCTATACTAATTATGCTAGTTTTGTAAATTATGCTCGTTTTAGCTGAAAAAAAAAATCAGAAATTATGCTTCTACTTTTTACTTTAAATTTCGTAAAAACACCTCTATAACTAGGCAACAAACAAGTAAATGACAAACCCATCATCCCTCTTTACATCTAGAAACTTGAGAATTGCATACATATTCATGTACGGGTGAGAAAAAAAACTCGAGCAATTAATTAAAATTGCACGTGGACGCCATCTTGGGTAAATGAGCTAGTTATGCGCATGCGTTGAGTTCTATAGAAAGGATCCTGGGTCACTTGCTGAACACTCATCTTGGGCCCAAAATTTTGTTATGTGATCAAAAAAATGAAATCTTGGCTGCAAATCTAGATAAAATTGCAAATTATGCTGGCGGTGCTTTTTTCGGAAAATAGGTGAAAACATTGGTGAAAGTTATGCTCGCCTCTCAACTGCCAAAAATTGTGCTACAATTGCCCAGCCTTCTTCTGTTTGAGAAACATTGAGTGTACAGTAATCTCGTAGCTCGATTTCTCGGCTTCGTCAATGAGAGATCTGGGTACAATATAACGAGATTAACTGAACAGGGGTATGGTGAAACACCTAAAAAGAATAGACTTGAAGTGATGATTAATTGAGCTCATTTTAAAGAGGAATTTTCTTAATAGGAAAGCGGAAAATTAGTTGTTGTTAGATTTAATGCCGGTCATGTTCGTAGAATAACGTTTCATTGAATACTGTAAACAATCATTGTAAATGTTGGCCCTCCCATCCCCTCCCGTAAAGTTTCCCCTTAGTCTTTTTTCGATGAGGACCTGGGTCCCAGTGATGAAAAAAAACATGGCGGCCGCTGGAACAGGTGGCACCAATATTTCCACGTTGATATTTTCAGCGTAAAAATGGCTCCTTTTACAGCGAGACACGCAAAGATTACGGGAGTAGCTACCTTGACGGTTGCCAGTTTTTANCTGGGTCCCAGTGATGAAAAAAAACATGGCGGCCGCTGGAACAGGTGGCACCAATATTTCCACGTTGATATTTTCAGCGTAAAAATGGCTCCTTTTACAGCGAGACACGCAAAGATTACGGGAGTAGCTACCTTGACGGTTGCCAGTTTTTATATCATCAAGAAGTATGGCCCAGGTGTCGGACGAAGGATCTTGAACAAACTTAAGTTAGGCAGTGGAAAAAGCTCGAGGTTACTGATCGAGCCTTCATTGAACACACAGTCAAAGGTCAAACGGCGAAGTGCAGCACTTGACTATGAATTCCTCTGTCAAGCGTGGAAACTTTTAAAAGTTCTCTTCCCAGGTTTTTGGACAAGGCAGGTTGGTTTGTTGTTTCTCCATTCGCTTTGTCTTTTCCTGAGGACATTTTTGTCGATTTACGTGGCAACTCTAGATGGCCGTATCATAAAATCGGTTGTTCAGAAAAATGGTTTTAAATTCGTTTTGTTACTTGTCAATTGGATCGGTGTGGCGATTCCAGCAACGTTCATAAACAGTATGATTCGGTATCTCGAAAGCAAACTGTCCCTGGCTTTTCGCACAGAGCTTGCTAACCACGCTTACGAGAAGTACTTCTCAAACCAAACTTACTATCGTGTGGGGAACTTGGATGGAAGAATAGCGAACGCAGATGAGTGTCTAACTGAAGACATTCGCATGTTTTGTAGTTCAGTAGCTCATCTGTACTCACATCTAACCAAACCCTGCCTTGATGTCTTTGTGATTTGTTGGACTCTTGATGGACTTGCAAGAAAAAGAGGAACCTCTTGGAAAATTCCAGTGAGCATAGCAGCGGTGGTGGTTTACCTTACTGCCGAGATTTTAAGGAAACTAAGTCCAAAATTTGGCAAGATTGTAGCAGAGGAGTCACAGAGAAGAGGACATCTTAGATTTCTTCACTCGAGGGTCATCACAAATGCTGAGGAGATTGCCTTTTATGGTGGTCATAAAGTAAGACTTTGTTAAGGTCGATTTAGACAGCAGGATTTTTGCTTACGATTTCCGTGTGCAATTAGCATACTTCATGACTTTACAGCAGATCGTGTCTTGTAAATTACACCCATGACATCTGTTCGACACATGTAGATGCTGGAAGTGAAAATTGTGCTCGTGTGGATGGTTCAAAGTCATGACATATGTTAGTCGCACACAATAGTCGTAAGTAAAAATATTTATTGTAAAGATACCCAGCCACTATGAACCAACAAACCCCTAAAAAATCGGTGGATATGCAGACAGCGCTCGACTACTAAGGTGCTGATCTGGATCTGCCTATCTACAATCTAACCTCTCTTATGGACACCTCTCTTTTATGGACAGAAATGCCAAAAATCATATATTCCCTACCTTTATAATACGGACACCTCTGCAAAGTGGACACTTGATTCTGTCTCTTTGGTGTCCGTATTAAAGAGGTTTGACTGTACTTCATAACTAACCTTTGTAAGATTCTTTTCTCAACTTTACATACATTTAGACAGCATATAAAACACATACAATAATTGTCAATGCCACTGAAGGTATAAAGGGATACAAAAAGAAGGGCTATGTATCAACATATGAGTGAGGTTAAGGGTTGCTGAAAATTTGAATTCAGGGCTTGAAAGGACAAGGCATATAATAAATGCGCTTGTTTTTCATTTGTTATTTGATGAGATGCAAATCTGCATAACTGTTCTTATGCAATTGCTCACCTTTGATTGACTCATTAATCCAGCTGTTTCATGGATACAGCTTAAAGGTGGTCCCAATTTGGAATACCCTGCTACGTATCCACATATCACTCAAAGCCTTATAGCACTAAGCATAGAAGAAAAAAAAGAATGCATTCTTACGTAGCCTGAGAAAATATCCAAAATTTTGTGATGAGACCACTGGTTTTCCCACAAAATGATGTCTGAGAAATGTTAGCACAAAATTCCACACTTATGACTGGTCAGTATCTTAACTACCCAGATCTGGGTAGTGTTTCTAAATGGCTGAAGCAAATTTCTCTCATAGTACATCCAATCAGAAGCACTAACCAGTTCTTGGTAGTGATATGTCGTCAGTATAGAGTATTTCTGTTCATTCCTCAGAGGTTGTTGAGCAGGGAAATTGGTGGTGGCATGTCAAAATGTCTGCTGTTTTTTTGATGCCATTCTTATTCAATGTTCCTGCTAGCAGGGAAATTCAGTGATATGGAAAATAAGTGGTTGGGCACTCTACAATCTCTAATCAACCTTTTGAAATTGCATTTACATATACTAATGATGTAAAATGCAGTGGAAAAAGAAGTTTTGGATTTAACCGTATATACCTCGTAATCAAAACTGAAGGGGTATGTAAACTCCAGGCCCCAGTTTTTCAAAAGCTAAAATATTAATAGAGCTATTCATCGGATAAATCACCATCCACTGGATAAATATTAGGGAAACCAACAGTCCAGTTTCGAATTAAAAATTACTGCTGAATGTAAACATTAACGACACATTCATACAGGGTTAGCCTCGACGTAAAGTACAATATTCTGGCAAGTAACTGTTTGAAATTTGAATATACACAATAGACAGAGTAATAAACAGGTCTGTTTCTCGTTGGAATTTGTGAATATAATACTTCAGATTGCGGCTAAGGCTGTAAAAAATGTGTCTTCACTTCTTTAATTCAGCGGTCATAGCGAACTCGAAAATGTACTATTGCACCATCCACTGGATTGAGATTTGTATTGTGGATAGGGCTATCTACCTTTTGAACAACTTGGGCCAGGTGATTAACAATAATATTAGTAGAAGGGAAATGAAACTACAATCGGCAACAAAATTGTTGAGACATTGTACTTAAGTAGGGTAGTTTCGGAGGACAAAGGAATCCGCACCCCTCCCCTGTCCCCTCCATTCAAAGTTGGGGTGTTTGTTGTTTTCTATAGGCAGCTAGAACAAGGGCATAACATTGCATGGAGGGGATGGGGGAGGAAAGCTATATTTTCTCCTTTTGAAGTTAATAAAATGTAAAAAAGCCCAGTTTTGGGCGAAGTGTCTCAACTCATTTTGTCGCCGATTGTCTGTGAGTCATACATGTATATGAAGGCAAATTTGTAGGTAGAGAAATGGGTGTATTTTCAGATTACCTGTAATTCTAACTAACAAACCATTGCAATCCTATAATGACTTTATCTTGGTCCGTAATCGTACCATACAATGGTAAGTGGGAACTTTGGGTTATTGTCATAAATTACCATTTCTTGATTTACACTGTATTCAAACTGCAGGTTGAGCTATGTTTATTGAAGCATAGTTTCAAGTCACTGGCACAGCAAATGGAGCTTCTCTTTAGCAAAAGGCTCTGGTTCATTATGTTGGAGCAGTTCTTGATGAAGTACGTGTGGAGTGCGGCAGGCTTACTTATGGTGGCATCAAGCATTTTTTTAGGAAAAGGTAACCCGGCTTTCAGGGTGCTTGAGGTTTTGTTANGCTATGTTTATTGAAGCATAGTTTCAAGTCACTGGCACAGCAAATGGAGCTTCTCTTTAGCAAACGGCTCTGGTTCATTATGTTGGAGCAGTTCTTGATGAAGTACGTGTGGAGTGCGGCAGGCTTACTTATGGTGGCATCAAGCATTTTTTTAGGAAAAGGTAACCCGGCTTTCAGGGTGCTTGAGGTTTTGTTAAACAGAGTTTCATATCTTGTGAATGTAAAAAAATTTAAAAGAAAGCTTAAAAAGGCAGCAGTACACAACATACAAAAGACTTGACTGGAACCATTTTCAGTCTAAATTATTGATGAGAGGTTTTGTTTTTGAATGCCATAGCCTCCATGGGTTTGAGACGAGTTGTATGGGAGGAAGGGGTTACAACTCCCCTAACAAGGCCTCAGCCTGGGAGGCACTGGACACCAATGATATCCAGTAAAACTCCTCCCTCCTAAACCCTTACTGTAGTAATGAAAGTGAAATTTAATTCATCCAATTCTTTTCAACAGAAAAAGGGACCATATACAGTGTACCTCAAACATCATATTTGATTACTCTATTCTGTGTCACATACTTGTACAACGGTAAAATAAATACATAGTGCCACACCAAGGTGCAAAACTAAAGAGCCTATCCTCAGTTAGAGCTTTACAATTCTGTATAGGTGTTGTTTTATAGTGTTCGATCTTTTGTTTTACGTCATTTGATTAATTCAAGTCTTCAGTGTACACTGAACACAAGGCCATTTTTGTAATTTCATGACAATTGCTCAAAGGGTCTACGTCACAACAATATTGCTGTTCAAGGTCAATCATGTTCCGAAGTTATTACTTCAATCTTTTACGTATACACAAAACGTTCCTGTAGAGTTACATATTATGAGTGTCGCCAATACGGTTTTCCAGTCCCGTAATCCCGCCTCAAAACTTCGTGCAATCCCGTAATCCCGCGGGTTATTTTTGGCAACCCACCCCCCGCGCATACTTTCAATCCCTAATCTCGCCCTGATTTCGCCTTAAAATTCCGAGTCCCGAGCTTCAAATAAGGGAATTCCCGTATCCCGAAAAACTTATTGAGGACCCTCTATTATGTATGATGAAGATATCAAAAGAGTTTCACCAGGGAGCACTGTCCATGAATTGGCCCAACTTTTTCAATTCATGTCCACCCTTACAACAGACAACAGGAAACCGGTGAACTCAATTTTGGAATTTAATTGATCCAAAGAAAAGCTTCAGCTTATTAAAAAGCCGTAGGAAATAGCATGACACACACTGTAGGCCCTTCAACAATCATTGAATCTCCAATTTGTAAATTTAGGTAGTAAAGAGCAGCTTGGTGTACTCCATCAAGCAGTTGGTGAAAGAACAGAACATGTCACAACCTCACGTTCCTTGATGGTTTCTGCTGCGGATGCTATAGAAAGAATCATGTCCTCGTACAAGGAGGTCAGTCATTCAGTTCTTTGCGAATCAAGTCTTTTCAGGCTTTTCAATAGCTAATATAGATGTTTGCCTTCTGTCTCAATATCTGGTAGTGCAATATACTGACCCTTAGGGCTGATTTCCACTGTTGCGTAATTCTTACGCGCGTACTTGCGTACGTGCGTAAAATTTACGTTCGGAAATAAAATAGAGGCAATGTATGAAAGGTCGCACGTAAGCGTAAAAGTTGAACCTCGCTCAACTTCTCGTTTAATCTCAGCACTTTTTATCTTGCCTGTATTATTTTATTTACGTGATTAAAATTTACGTGCGTTAACGTTTCGTAGCCAAAAATGCGACGTTGGAAATCAACCTTTATTCAGTCCCAGAGATAACCTTTTGTTTTAAAGAGGTGCACCGCGAGAAGGTAGTTATCCGGTAGTTAAGTAACGAGAGCATAAAGATTAGTCACCTTTGACACACGCAATGCGAAATGATGTTTAATTGAAAGCGCGGGGCGCTATGCTATAATAGCCTTTTTCAGCTTGTACTGTTTTTGGTTCTCCCAATTTCAGATCACGTGATCTTTTCAAGGACATCGCCTTTTGCCCTCTTATAAATAAATTATGGGTACTTATGCATGTGGATAGAACGACATTTGACAGAAACAATTTTCTCATCACAAGGACTGAAATGGAAAAACTAAAAATGCAAGCGTAAAAGGTCTCTTGCTGTAATTATAAAGAGAAGATACTGGTTTCGGTAAAAGAGAGTGACAGCGTACAAACAAACGAGATCATGACCACGATGCGGGAAATCTGTCAGGTTTATAGCTTGTTCCAGGCCTTCCCTTAGTGGTGTGTGTTTTTGCACCGTCCGCACCATCTGAAAGCCTAGAATAGGCTTTCAGGTGTAGGCCTTTGACATCACGGGGTTCAATTGCAAAGCTCCGTTTTCGTGTGTTAAGACAGCGTGAGAGGAAAGCCTCCTGAACTCCTGAAATTTTATTCCTTTTTTTCTTAAGATCATAGAACTCAGCGGGTACACTGCGCGCGTCTCAGAGATGTTAGAAATCTTTGAAGATGTTCAAAAGGGGCACTGCCGGCGACAAACATCTTTGGAAATAAAGGAAAGCGAACGCATCGCTGACGAAGCTGAGCAGCTTTGATCACCTCCTAATCCCCCGGTGCCGCTTCAACAGCTGGACTCAGTCTACAGTCCTCCACTTCATCAACTATGGCTCCCTTTGTAACGAAACTTCCTACAGCGATAGTAGTGTGGAACACCGCTACACCAAGTGTCAAGTTTGTCTTTCGAGGTAAAGAATGAACTGAGCATAAGGGAATTGGTTTGAGCGTATCATGCACAGACAGGTGCCACTGGCCTGCAAATAATAGTGGTTCATCCGTGTCCCACTGAAATTGGCCCATGCCCGACGAAATCTTGACTGTGATCGGACGTGATATCTGGAAAAAATAATGCCAAAGAAAATCAATATATGCAATTGAATAATCTACTATGTTGTCCCAACGCAATAACATTATTGCAGACATTCTATGGCAGTAAATAGTCTAGGTGAGAATGCCGCACCTACCATGCGCAACTAACTTTATTTTGTGCGATTGTCCAGGCAAAATTGTGACTTAGCGGGACATATCTCCTTTCAATAAGGAAAAATTATTTGCAGCTCTGCCACCATGAGAGAATGCCATCTCATTTGAAAAGCCTTCTCTGAAAAATGAGCGTGAGATTTAAATCAGTTTGCCTCGTAATGCAAACTCCAAGCGTGCACAAGTATGTGTCCATGATGCCTATATGTGTAGACTCCTCACCATTAGTCAAGGTGGGTCTTTATCGGGTTCCCCTTGTTTTGACTGCTTCCCTATATTGTATGGCCTGTTGGCCTCCGGCGTCCGTAAAGCGCCGGTTACACTGGTGGGCGTTTCATTGCGCGATTTGTCTTGTGACAAGGGCGGCGATTTTTTCCGGGCGATTTTTAGCGCGATTGTATACAAAGTAGTATTTCGAGCAGCGCTTTTACCATAGTTGTCAGCAGTGGCGATGAATGCAAATTGGAGCAAAGAAGGTATAGAGACCTTAGACAAGTTGGTGAAGTGCATCTTTCTATTCATGTTGGTGTCTCGTATTGGATCGTCTAGCCCTTTCGTATCGTCTGGTTTATCGGTAGTTTCTTTGTATCTTGATATCGCGTGTTCTCTGAATTGAATTTGAATTGTATGTTCTGCAATGACTTTAGATCTTTTTAATTCTCAGATGGAACCAGGGATGCATCTTTTGATAACTGGACCCAATGGCTGCGGCAAAAGCTCACTGTTCCGTATCCTTGGTGGATTGTGGCCGGTTTACAAAGGCTTCTTGGCAAAACCACCCCCAACCCATATGTTCTACATACCTCAAAGGTGAGTTGTATGCATTGGTACTCCCGACGGTGTGTATACTGCCACAGTATAATGAGTATATACGACTTGCAAGGGCTCAGTAAAAGGAGCTATTGTAGGTGACGAGGATATTGCTGTTGTAGGCCAGTTCTTTGCTGACGTCATTGTCTAGTGTCTTTACCCACATACAAAATACTCCTCTAGAATTATGAAGAAGATATAAATTTCTTTAGAGAGCACTAAACATGCTAAGACGTAATCCATCAGGAAATTGAGTAATTTTAATTTTCACTGGACAAAAACTTTGTACCAGAATAATTTAAACCATATTGCATTCTTTTTTACATTTGTAAAGTGCTATAGATGTAATTAGTTATGTGTAATAACACCAAAGAAAATTGCTTATGGGAGCCCGAGATTTCACAAGAATTGTGAAAAAACGGGTAAAGTTGTTAAAATAAAACGAGAAAAAAGTTCTTGGCGAAAATGCTTAAACTGGAAGGCATCTTCACATCAATTGCTATCAAATGTCATCGCCACGAGAGACTCGCAGTTCTGCAAATGTTTGCACTATTTTTCTGCTTGGAGCATGTGAAGACCTTGAAAAGCGTTTGGGAGACACTGTCTACAAGTAAGTTTAGGACAAAGCGAAGAAGCACAGCCGAAAAATAGCGTTTGTGACTTGGAAAGTGCCTAAACTGGCACAATCCTCGAACAGTCAACCGGCACAGCAAGTTTGTCTTTTTCTTTTTTGTTCATTGTATAAAACGAATAAATTCCATGTCACCGTGGGTCTGTTTTGTAGTAGATCACCGATGATGTCAAAATGCAGTGACACACTCGCCTGGGGCTGGTGTGCCACGTCTTTGTTTTTACCACCTGTTGACGTCATCTGTGATCTATTACTGAACAGACGCACGGCAACATAGAATCTATTTGTTAAAGAGCTTCTTCCGAATTTTGTACTGCCCCTCTCATCCTTTGTGTCCGATTGTTTTCCCTCAGACCCTACATGCCTATTGGCTCTCTGCGCGATCAAGTGATTTATCCACACACAGTTGAAGACATGCAATCTCATGGCATCTCAGACGATGACCTTGAGTCCATTTTGGCTACTGTTCACCTGCAGTACATCATCAAACGAGAAGGAGGTAAGCACACGCTTATCAACTGTAGCCTGGAATGTACGCCTATAATAAATAAATAAATAATGAATAAATAAACCGTTTAATGGCAAGGCACGATAGAAGATGGCGGCCACACTGACTATGACGTTCACCTTTTAGCTACAACCAGTTACAAAAATGTGGAGGCACTCCAACGAAAGACCGGCCTTTTTTAATTCAAATCTCCGCTAGTCACAATTATGTGCAACATAATTCTCATCTCCCTCCTACACCGCATTTAAAGTTGTTCCTCCAAGTTTTGAGCATGCATGGTCTTCTATTGCTAGCAACTTTGATAAGGGGAGGTGGGGGGATCACAAGCACAAGATCATGGAAATAAGGTACAGTGTCTCAAGTACTTTTGCAACTGGTTGTAGCCTGGGAAAAGGGAAAAGGAGGCTTTTTTTTCTGGCCCAATTCTTCTCCTTTTTTCTTTTACTCCTCTTCCCCTAACAGTTTTTCGAAAAATTCAGAAACTCGTTAACTTAAGGCATAATTAAACAATTAAACAACGCTCTAAACGTTTCAGCGCGTGGAGTTTTCGATAAGATAAAAAAGTAAAACAAAAAACACAGTTGTGAGCATAATTTGTCTCTTGTGATATTGATAGGTAATCAAATGGTAAACTCGTTTTGAAAGTTATTCGAATTTGCTCAAAGCGCAAGTGAAAATAATTTTAATCGTCACGAAACACACACTGATTGGGTTGGTGTAGGTGAGGTTCTAATTTACTTGGGACGTTAAGAAACACACCTTTATGCGCTTGCTATTAGTTCTTAGGAATGTTTATATAACTGTGGTGATCGCATTCTATCCCCTTTTCTTTTAACTCTGGATGTGACATAGACAGCGAGCAGTCTTTCTTTTTCTTCAGATTTATTGAGGGGAGTACGCGCGCGCCTTCAGTCACGTGCGTGGATATTTGCGTGTCTCGCGCGTTTTGCTCGATGGTCCCAGAAAAAAGAGAGACTGCGGGTAGTCTAGATGTGACATGTGTGACAAATCTTTAAACAATAAGTTTCTGAAGTTCTTTGAGTCTCGTTAAAGGCTGGGATGCTGTGAAAGAGTGGAAAGATGTGTTCTCAGGAGGAGAAAAGCAGAGGATGGGTATGGCACGGCTGTTTTATCACAGGTTTGTGTTACTAAGATAACAGCATCAAAACTCCCCTTACTTGTCCCTCTGCACTTTTTGCAGACGCATTGGGAAGATTTAGCGCAACATGCAGTGTAAAGGAAAAATTAAAATTGTGCGAGCGATTTAAATTGTATAATTGTATTTGTTGAGTTAATTGTTGAAATTGCTTTAATAGATCTCTCATAACATCGTTGAACGTCTTGCCAAAAAATCAACGAAATTTAACCCTTTACGCCCCGATATCCACAGGGCTGTTATTAGTGAACTTACGCAACAGGACGGGAGAGGAAAGAAGACGGCAAACCTTGTCTGACAAGCGTGACAATAATTTTGCTTGAAACAACTTTTTGCCAAACTTTACTATCTTTTAAAAAGATCTTTTCGTACAAGACAAGAGAACATTGATGTTAGTCAAGATCACGACAAAATACGCAAGTTATAGCCTTGTCACATTCGTCACGCACAAGATAAAAATGAAAGATAAAAAGATAGATAAAAGATAAAAGATAAAAGATAAAAGATTAAAACGACAAAATACGCAAGTTATAGCCTTGTCACATTCGTCACGCACAAGCGATTTGCCGTCCTCTTCTTTCTGCCGTCCTGTTGCGTAAACTCACTACTAACGGCCGGGGACCCGGGGCCGGGGATTTTCCCTGGCTATTATGAATGTGACCCCGCCTACTTTTGTAGGAAAATAGAAGAAAAATAGAACCAAACAAAATCCCTAGCTGTTGGATTCCCCTCCTACCTGCATCATTAGCCCGGCATCTTGAAATTTTAATGACACCCCTTTATCCACCTACGAATTTTCTAGACCGATCGTCAAGGATAAGGTACTTGGGAGAGTTTGATAACAGATCCAAGTCATTTTCCTGTAGGTGATCATTTTATTAATTCTCATGACCTTTTTATTTGATTATGTTGTTGATATTGTCAGGGAAAATTAATGTTGATCACTCTCGGAACTTAAAGGGTTACTCGTGATTGTGGCGTGCATGGCGTTACTACTTTTGAGCCAGTAAAATTCACCCTATGTAAGGGAATCCGGAATCTGGGATTCGAGAACATTTTGCTTTCGTGAATGTAGAATGTGTGTCTGTTTCTCCCATTAGCTGTAAAGCAGAACACATTGACACGTAAATAAAGTTTTGATTTCATTTAATTTGTGGAATCCTGAATCCTGAATCCTGGGCTTTGGAATACAGCTCAAGGAATCCGGAATCCCACTTACGATTGGAATCCAGAATCCAAGTTTCACTGACAAAGACTGGAGTCCAGTACCTGGAGCTCGGATTCCACGGCTTGCACTCCAGAATCCAAGACTACGAGAGGATGTCTAGGATTCACTTATATGGGGCGTTATAATGCATAGACGTGCAAAGATGAAGCAATCGCTAAAATACTTTTGATAATCAATTGAAAACTTCCGCATGTACACTCTGTCATTTTTACTGTTTTGTTTTAATTGTTTTATTATCATTTTGCCATTTACCTTTAATATATACACAGAATTTAAAAAGAGGAGGTAAGGGAGACCATGGAAGCCAATAAGGCTTATGAAAAGGAAAAACATATGACTTATGTACTTGAATAAAATACTGGCATGGGCAAGACAATTTAACTAAACACATATAATTTCTTTACAACATAGAAAATAATAATTAAATAGGATAAAAATAGATAAGGCTGAACGCGCAAGTGCAAAAAAGAAAAAGAAAAAGTGAGAAAAAGTATTGTAAAAATACAAGGGAAAGAAGCGAAAACAGAACTGTACGCAAGCATTAAAAGAAGTAAAGTGTGCTTGTGCCAAGAAAAATGACTTCAGTTTAGAAGTGAACTCTGAATTTCAGAGCTAAGGGAATTGAATATTTTGGGCACTTGAAAACGAAGTGAGAATTTCCTTACATTTGATAGACAGAGGTCTTTATTAAGAAATGAGACGCAATATACGTGGGGCTTTACAATGAATAGCGAACTAAGCTAAGGTTAAAAAAAACTATCATATGCAAATTTAAAAAAAAAATTTAAGTTACTAAAAGATATTAAGAAATAAATTTTAGAAGACACCTATTTCAAAAAGCCCGTTTAAATCGTCATGACCCCTTTCTTTAAGAACCCCATTTCGTTTGGGTGGAAGCAAGTCATACAATACATGCATAACCAGTGTCACTTGTGATTCTGTTGAAAAGATCACTGCCCCTTTTCTTAATAACATCAGATATCAAAATGATCTTATTTGTCCTACAGACCGCAGTTTGCTCTGCTGGACGAGTGCACCAGTGCTGTGAGTATTGATGTCGAAGGAAGCATCTTCCAAGCTGCTAAAGATGCTGGTATCAGTCTGTTAAGCATCTCCCACAGATCTTCTCTCTGGTTTGTACTCTCGTTTATATATACTTTTTAAGAGTATCACTCCCTTTTTATCCAGAAAGGTATTAAGAAAAAGAGAAAATTATCATTTAGGCTGACCTTGTTGTATTCACATTCGCCCGCGACCCTTGGGTGAAGCTCTAAATAGCCTAAGAAAACAGCCGCGAAATAACATCTGAGAAACAAACGCAGAAATTCCATACTGATGACGTGTCACTACCCACATCTAGGTAGTGCTTCTGATAGGCTGAAGTAAATTTCCCACGCGGCACGATTAATCACAAGCACTACCCAGATGGTAGGGTAGTAGGATAGTAGTTGGGTAGTGACGAGTCATCAAAAAGGAATTTCTGCCCTCGTTTCTCGGGTGCCATTTCGCGAAGAAACCAGTGATGGCGTGGCGAAATGTCGGCTGTGAGCATTTGATGCAGCGCTGGGGATAATCCAGGGATGGGATAGACCGGCGTCCATTCCAGAAGAGATGTGACACATATCCTGCAAATACGACCGCCTCTCTGTTATCGATCTCCGCCGTTGTAAGCTTTCTGCGCCCCACAGGCAGAGAGCGATGAGAGGTAGCTGTATTCCAGGCTGTGACAGAGATTAAAGTTAGGTTCTTGGGCTTTTCGCTTATAAAAGAAGCCCCCTAACCCTGAAAACAAAGGGTAGTGCGGGTTATAGGGACCAATGAAACGAGGTTTGGAAGGGTGCTGGTCAATAGCTTCTTTAGCTTGTAGGCGTGTATTACAAGAAATACATTTATCGCAACACCTCGCGAACCTATGAAGCTGTCTTCGGGAAAGGCGAGAAACTTTCATCTCTCCCTGTCACTCTTCCTCCCGCCTCACGAGTACTGTTTGTCATTTAGAATAGACTTCCACTGTCTGGTTTCTTTACGTGCGTACACACGTAAATTTTGCGCCCGTAAATGAAAAAGAAGCACTGTATGAAAGCCGTGCGTAAACGTACAAGTTGAGCGCGACGCAATTGATACGTTGTACTATCAGGGGTACTCTGCATATCTTCCAGACTTCTATTTGCTATTATCTTTACCTTCTACAGTACCTGGAGTTTGGAGCATTGTTGCTGGCGGTGTAGCCGCCCTTGCCATGATGCACCGCGTCGCGCGTCTTCATGTATGTTTGGCCTTCATTTTCTCTATAGGAAATTCCACACCCATCTGCTTCAGTTTGACGGAGAAGGGGGCTGGCGCTGGGAGGAGCTTAACACAGCAACGAGGCTCACACTTCATGAAGAAAAACAGAAGCTTGAGTCACAGCTGGCTGGAGTACCCAAGATGCAACAGAGATTGAAGGAGTTGTGCTCCCTGCTCGGAGAAGACTCGGTGTTGTGCGTGCGAACGTAGAGCACCTCAGCCGCCGTTTTAAGTCTGAGCAAACACTTGCAGCTCTTTTTCGTTAGTGCTAAGGTCACTCTAACAAATTGCCACCGATACAGAACCAGTGCTGTTTCTTTTGAAACTAACCCGACCTTCTTTAGAGAGCTTTAGATTCTAAGACAAGGACGACTACGAGCACGATATTTTCTCAATACTTAGTAGTGCACGCGCGTGAACCAGCGTCATTTTGGCGGAAAAACGTAACAGCAGTCGTCATTCTACTACGAGGCTTAGCGAGAATGTCGTGCGGAAACAGGTTATCAAATTTTAGACGTTTTATCATTTTGCGATCAGGAAAGGTCTTTACCTCCTCCAATAAAGATAACAGTGCCAACTTTTATGGGGAAAAAAGTGCAATGAAGCAGTCCGTTTTTTTTTTTTTTTTTTTTTTTT